CTAAAAAAATGACTGTTTAATTTATGCTTGAATGGTAATTAATTTCAAATCCAGTGCATGCATTGCATGTACATGTATATCTGTGTGAATGTTGCACACAGCATTCCTGCATGCACAAATTTTGCAATGTGTGTAGTGGTTCTAACTCTGCTGCATCCCACTCCATTCCATCAGTGTTGCTTTTTGAAATGCTGGCTAAACTTCAAAACGTATTTGAAGTGTGGAATGTGTGTGCTTTCAAATTCCCTGTTGGATATCTGCATTAGCCTGCAAAATCTTCTCAGTACTGTTTATGTTGTTTTACTGTGTGAGCCATGTAGGGAGACCGTTCTGGCAGTTTTAAGTAGCATATAAATTTGTGAATGAATGAATGTATAAGGAAGGACTTTCTGAATGCTCTCTTGCACAGTACCATGAAGTTGAACTGTAAATTATTGTGTCTGAGTGTTTCATTGCTGCTGCTTCTACCAGCTGTGTCTAATTGATATAGGGCTTATGATTAAGCCAATTGTAAACTAAAGGAGCCCATGAAATATTAATAATGGCCAAACTAATTATTGTGAAGCCTGAATTGAAACTTCTTTTCAAGACAGAAGCCGTGTGTGTGTGTGTGTGTGTATGGGTGTGTGGGTGAGAGAGAGAGAGAGAGAGAGAGAGAGAGAGAGAGAGAGAGAGAGAGAATAAGCAGCCATTTAGAGCATTAAGACCATGCAGCTTATACTTGTTTACTGACATTTCATGCAATGATATTTGTAGAGTAATGACTAGAGCATAACGTGATATTTTGGTGATCTGAAATGGTAAACCTTGTTGCTCAGAACTCAGTAAGTAGTAGTGAATCAGCAGATTAAAAAGTATATGAAATATACCTAGTTAAGGTGTTCTCTTAAGTAGCATATCATCTACCTAGATCAGTGCAGTAGGATGGAGATTCTGCCATATATAATTTCTCCCTGGTACTGGATTATGAATATTTCTGGTGGTGGTACTGCTTCTGTCAGTGGTGGAGGGAGAAATTCCCCTTTCCCTGAATGCCCTCAAAATTTGCTTTGGGGGCTATTCATACAATATTGAACTCTGCCCATAAATTACTAAGCATATCATTCCACTAACAGAATACTGTATTTCAGTGACTATATCAATTTATTTGATATGTAAGAAAAGTTTGTCCTCTGATGGATGCTAATATTAAGTAAGTAAATTTGTTTGGACTAACTAACATTTGAACCCTACTAGGAACCTGAAGCACAAGGTTTGGTGAACTTCAGCATGCAATATTCTCTTCCTCTGGCTTTCACCATCTTCCTTTAGTCTTCAGGTCAGTGTCAGTATTTAACTGTAACTGGCACAATTCTCTCATCTGGAAAAATATAGATCAAGTGATGCTATGCTTCCTGTCCTCTCAGTCTTCCTATTGACTTCTTGTCAGCAGTATGCAAAAACAGTCTTATTTTAGTATTGCCATAATCCTACATGCTCTGTGCCTCATCTCTATCCCTGCTGTCCAGTGTTTCCACAGGTTCCTTCCTTTTAGGCCATCAGTACTTTGCACTTATTCCTCCTTTCTCCCCCATCCCAATAGGTGTGTATTTTCCTGTCTTTAAGGGCTTTGATTAGCTGCCTATTGCTCAGTTTCCTGCATCTTCTTTCTTGCTCCAACCTCACTCTCCAGCTATCTTTTTGTTGATTATTCTTATTATATTTATATCTCACCCTTTCTACTTCCAAGAAATTCAAGGCAGTTTACATTTTTCTGCTCCTCATCTCACTCTTGTCCTTACAACAGCATCCCCGTGAGTGTTGGTTTGGCCGAGACACCATGACTGCCCCCAAGTCACTCAGCTCCATGGCTGAGCAGGGACTAGAACCCAGATTGCTGGCGTTCCTGTGTGACGCTCCTAGTTTATCAGTTGTTCTTGCTCACTGGTCTGTACCACAACATACTCTAGATAGTTCTTACTCAGGACAAATTAAATGGCAAATAAAATGAATTAACAGGGCAGTAAAGTGGAAGAAAGAGATGCATTAACCTCTAATGAAACCTTCAGTTATCTTTAAAACAGTCTACTGCAGCCTTCTGCAACCTGGTACCTTCCCATTGCTTTGGACTACAGCTCCTAACATTCTTCACCGTTGACCATGCTGTTTGGAGCTGAGAATGTATTCATTGCATTTATGTCTTATAGTGATATTCTCCTTATTTGTGGAACTCAAGGGGACTACACATAGTTCCTAGGTAGTTTCCCTTCCAGACACTGGCCAGGCCCAGGCTTCTTAACCTCACCAGTGTTTCTGCCTCATGTGCCTTTAGACCACACACTGGGTGTTGAAATCCAAATCCTCTAGAGAGTATTCCAAATTATTCATATTCAGTTCACAGTAACAGCTTCATTTTTTCCCCAAAATCATACCATTCTGTACATACAAAATCATACCATTCTGTACATTTCATTCACACAAGTTACACTTATGCTCTTCCTGGTTGTACCTTCTTCCCACCTGCACTCTCTCCAGATCAGCTCCGAAGGTTTCTCTAAACCTCTGGAGCAGGTTGTGCGGGATGCAAGGATCTGAAGGGAGGACAAAGAAGTTGATACACTGGCAAAAGGAAACTTTTGGATTGGGATGCCTCGAAGCTCCATAGACTCCATCCCTCTAGCATTTGTAGGCTTCCTCTCATGATCGGCCTTGTCTTGGGAAGTGAGCCAAGCTGAGAGGAAGTCCACACATGCTCTCGGAATGAAGGCTGCACAACCAGCATGCCGCAGCACAAAGCAAGGTTGCTGCATGTGGTAAGGAAGAGGGATGCTACTTGCATACTGCTCGGCGGGGCTTGATTCGTGGCAAGCACCACACAAACACTGGCAACTCTTACCAGGAACTTGGACTCTGCATCAAAGCAGACCAGTGTCTGGGGAACTGAGCCCAGGGAATCAACCAGACTCCCACCCCCAAAATGGATTCCGTAGAAATCCCTACTGTTGGATACAACCTTGTGCTTTTTAAATAATAAATCTCGAAGTCGTGGAAGCTGTAAATATTTACTTGTAGCCTGACAGATGCTTTCATTTCATTAAGATTCACTTTGCCAGCAGGGCTTGCTGGATTGCGTTTTTATTATAAAATGGGATAGCTGATCATTGTGTTACCTCTGTAAAGCAGCATGTTTGCTACTAAATAACAATTTTTTAGTATTAGTACATATTTTTACCACTTTGCAGCATCTCTAAGAGTTGACTTAAAAACACTGTAATAGATTTGGATTTTCATCTGCTTGTCTCATCAACTCAGCGGAAGAACCCAGGAGACTAGGTTTTCTTGTTGCTAGTTAGCTGATACCTTTGACATACCTGGATGTGTCACTGGATAAAAGTAACCAAGAACAGTGGTCTTCTAGTTGCACAGGACCTGCTGAAGCTATATTGGCTTAGCCAGTCACGTTATGGAAAATCGATGACAGAAGACAAAAGGGAAGACCAAATATGAGATGGATGGAATCCATAAAGGAAGCCACAGCCTTGAACTTGGAAGAGCTGAGTGGAGCTGTGGTGGGCAGGGCATTTTGGAGGGCTTCCATTCACAGGGTCTCCATAAATTGGGGATGACTTGACAGTGCATAGCAGTCTTGAAGTGCAACAAATCACTTCAAAACATAACAATTTGAGCTCAGGTTTATCACTTTTAAGTGATAACACATTATGTGATTGAAGGACTTTGTTTTCTACAAAATTCTTAGATTGTGGGTGTTGCAAAGGAGTTCCTGGTAACAGGTCATGTTGCCTGCACTGATTTTTAAATTCAACAAAATGTTGAAATGTGGCATTTGTGCATGTGTGTACTTGTGGCAAACATGACACAGTGTCATGGTGAAAACTCACTCAAGTCTCACACTTAAGTGATTTGTCATGAGTGGGCTATTAAATGTTGCCCTCATTGTGATTTTTGTCTTTTCTCCAGCCATTGCAAATGCCAGTCCTTCATGCATGCAGTACAATACTAGTGCCCCATTTGTGTACTTAAATAGCCATGTTTTAACTTGTTACTTAGGAGGGTTCTACAATAAATGTACCTGGATGGGAGAAAATATCATTTCAAATATATTATTCCCAGGTCTGTCTAAATGCTTAATATACTTTAAAAAGTGACAAGAGCAGGTTATCAGTTTTTTTATTTACACACAATAGTATCTTTTCTTCAGTATATTGTTGTTGTAATGGTAAGCCGGAGAACGCGTCTTCATTGTTACCCAGTTCCTGGGCCACACCTGCCAATGACCAGATTCAGCCCTGTGGACAAGGCACCAGATTTAGCACCACAACTAAAAGAAAGTTTAAATGAAAGTTTATTAAAGCATTAAGAAAGGAAGAGGGGACTGGGATACAGAAGGAAAATAGGAAAAGCAAGGATAGCAGCAAATTTATGTAATATTAGCTGATTACAATATCTTATCCCCACACATGCAGACTCATTTTTGCATGACAGAGACAAAACTAACACTAGCCTTACTCTTCACTTAAAGCAGGTAAGCCTGTGACAAAGATTTTAGCATTTGGTGAGGGAGCAAGGCCTCTAGCCAGGTTGAAACCCAACAGGAAAGGACAGACTGTGTTGAGCCAAGGCTTTTTCAAGCAATGGAGTGATACCAGCCCACCAGTCCAGGAGGCTTCAGCTTCCAAGCTGTTAGCAGTTCACACTGTTACTGTTCAAGGCAAGCAGTTCTCAGCTACTCATCTTTGGGCCCATCTTCAATGAGAAACCTGGGAGTACAGATCATCCCCTCCTTCTTGGCATTTGAAGTTTTAGCTTGATCACTTAAAATTTAGATTAACCTTTCCTAGGTATTTGTTACAGTTACTCCTTTTCTGCTGAAATTCAGTTCAGTTTTGCTTAAAGTTCTGAGTAAATATTTTTGTTTTGTTTGCTCAGAATGTGTATGTATTGTTTCATACCTTGGAGTTTTCTGCATTCATGATCACTGCACCTTTCTTGCATACTTGCAGAGATTTGCCCCACTGTACCTGAAGAAAACAGAATCTTAAATGGTAAGTCCATGCTAACAGCACCCTACATTTTAATGCAACCAAGCAACGGAGATGTGAGTATACCTGGTTGCATACCTGGATTTCCTAATGGAAAACACTGGACAATCTATTTCCAGTCTTCTATCCTCCCCAACCCCTAGTCCAAATCATTCTACACAACCCAAACTGCCATGTTCTTCAAGTGAAGTTGTACAGCGGAAATTTATCTGGAGAAGAAAAGAGAGCATCAGACAGCTTGAGCGACAAAGCTCAAACCTGCACTGCATGGGAAGTAAAATACAAATTGCTGAAATACATTATCTTAGGGTTCTGCATGAGAGTTAAAACTTAGAGAACAGCATGTGACAACCTATTCAGTTGCAGTTCTTTTGCTAAAGTAACAAGCTATGAAAATGATGTCTAGAATTCTTCTTTGGCCTTTATTATTTCATATTTCTTTTTCTGTGTTCCTTGTTGTGAATGACGTTGCTCTTGGCTTTCTTTTGTATTGCCTCCTGCTTTCTCATAGTCATCTTTAAGTCCCTATTATTACTATTATTGCTGCTGCTACTCCATTTCATCTCTATCCCTCCTTTTTTCCTTCTTGTGATCAACCCAAGCTGGCTTACATAGCTCCGTTTTATCCTCACAGCAGCAACCCTAGGTTAGGGTGAGAGTCAGTGACTGGTTCAAAGAGGCCCAGTAAGCTGTTAAGCCCAGTGGAGACTAGAACTGGTATCTCCTGGCTCTCCAGTCCAGTATGCTAACTGCCATGCCACGCTACCTCTTGTTCATGTCACTACTTGTTTCTGTTTGTAAAGCTCCCTTTCTGTGGCCTGGACAATCAGGTGCACACAGCTGGGGAAGTAAAAAACTACAGTGGCTTTTCTCTGCCCTGTATATGCTGGATGAGTGCTACCTCATGTCCAGAATTACCTGTGCCACCTGAACCTGATAAAGTAGGTGCCTTCCAAACCACCCCACACACCAGGGCTTCTTCAAGTGTTCGAGGATGGTTTGGAAAATATGCCCATTGCTCACCCTTACTGAGTTTTGGCTGCACATGGTGAAAGTAAGTATGAATCTCAGGCAGCATGCATATTACATGTTTGGGACAAGGAAAAGAAACCACTGTGGCTTCTTTTCCTTCCTCACTTATAGAGATCTAGGCATTGTAAATATATGAATTACATGGGTAGCTTCAATACCCAGAACTAATTTTTAGTTTGAAAATCTGACACCAACACATCAGTTCGTCTTTTACTGAATTAACAGTGGACTTCTCTGTTAAAGATGGAAAAAATTATCAGGCATGTGATAAAATATTTGTTCCAAAATATGGCCTCTCTTTTTAGAGTGATGCAAAGAAGATTGGGAAAACTAATGAAGTGACTCTCCACATATATTTTTTTCTGCCCCAACTTTATAACGCTGACATATAAAAGCTGTCCACTAAAATAGTATTAAGAATAACTATCTTGAAGATTTGAGGATAAGAATGAAAAGCACAGTTAAAGGCTGTTTCAGGCTATAACAGTCACTACTATATTTTTATATTGTTATTATTTATTGTTGTGAGCTTCCCCGAGGCTTTGGCGAATGGGGTGGCATAGAAGCTTTCAAAATAAATACTACTAAACTATTAGTTTGTACTGTTACTTTTTGAATATATGGTACAAAGACTGGTGTCATATTCAGCGTAAAAGCACTAGTTAATGATATGCTATTGTGGAGTATCATGTTTATTTACCCTTTGAAAGCGAATGAAAAGTTGAACAAGTACACAGTAAAGAATGGAGCAATCTGCTTCTTGAATACTAACAACAACAACAACCTGTTTCATTTCCAGATAAGTATGAGTAGACAGTAGAATGGCTTCTCTACTGGATATGTAAATGTGGATAAAATTAAGAATTCATTGCACATAGGTGTGGGCTGATATGACTAAGCTAAGCTTAACAGTTGTGAGTCATCCACCTTGGGTCAGTAAAACCTCTGACTCAGCATCCTCTCTTTCCTCAGCATGCCCCATCTCGCAGAGACAATCCACCATGTAAGCAAGGCTTCTTATCTCCAAAGAAGCTTTTTTAGCTTTTAACTTATAAAGAGAATGGAAAAGAGATCATAACAGTGTGTCTGGTGAGAATGTAGTGCTCTGTTGCCCCAATTCATTCAGTAATTGATGATAATGATCGAGGGTAAGGTGATCAGGAATGCACCTTGAACCTATGCTGTCCCCTGGATCTTCAGCTGGCCATGATGGCTTGGATTGTATTGGCACAATAGCACTTTGTACAATTTATTTTGTAAACTTTTCTAACACTTGTGTGTAAAACCATCAGAATGCAAGAGCAACTGAAATATGTTAAGGATTTTACTCTCTCATGTTAACTATTTGTTGAGTAAAGAGATGATTCTCTATTTTATATAATTTTTTATATGTTCCTCTCTGGTCCTTTACAGTACTCTGCAAATAGCTCATAAAACATAATCAAAACAGTGACAAAATATGACCCAAACTATTGCTTAGAGTCTGCTTCCAGTGAGTTTCATTGAATGTTCCAAAGTTTGTATGCCGTGTTTCATTTTCCTCTTTATAATTTTAGTTAGGGTTTACAAAATTAGAACTCTTGACTGAAGAATATGTTCCAGTCCCTTGATCACAATAGTAGCCGCTTTCTCTCCTTTTATAGTTCTACAGCTTGTGTCTTCTAATGTGGTTAAGGAATCAACAAGGTGCATATTGGTCTTGTTCGTACAATCATACCTTGAATCAGTAGACAGAGATATATAAGCCATTTGCCCACAAGCATACATAGTCCTTTTGCTTCTCCCCTCATTGTGTACTAAACAAAGTAGAGAAGTCTTAGTTTATACATTATTAGTTAATTAATTTCATTTATATAATACCCACTAGCCTAAGCTATTTACAGTTTACAGCAGTTCATAAAAGCAATGCAAAGTAATACCATAAAATCTTATCAAAATAGAGACATTTTAAAGTAAAAACTTAAAAACAACTAAAGCAATGTACAATGAAGAGCACCCCTGTAAAAACACCCAGGATTGGATAATGCCATCAAGTATATCTTTAAACGAATCAACATAAGGGGCTATATTAATGAATTGCCAAAAAAATACCAGGTGGGCCACTCTGAGGAGGTCATTCATAGGTTGTGGTGATGGCAATGGTGGGGACCCACAGAGAAAGCCTTCTCTGTCATTCCTGTCCCCTGAGCCTCCCTCAGAGGAAGGTCCTGCATGTTGAGTATAGTGTCCGGGTTAATTGTTGGAAGAGGCACTTCACCCAGTATTGTGGTCCCAAGCCATACAAAGCTTTATAGGGTAAAACAGATCCTGCATTTTTATGAAACTGATAACTGTATTTCCTGATTTGGATGAAACTATAGATTTTAGTTAATTGCAGACATCCAGGTTTAATCATGGCTCAAAAGAAAGGAGAAGAGATGGAGCTATGTGGGCAGGCGAAACCTTACTGAGCTGTGCTCATCTTATGTGGCTAGTACTTGAGCTGCTATTACTCAAAAGTTCTAATATTAATATTATTTTTATAATGGTCTGTTCATTTCCAGCACTGCATTTTTGTGCTAGAGCAGAGAGTTGACATTTTCAGTGAGATGTTCATTGTGACCTTATCTTTAATCTACTTTTAGACCTAAGTATGAATGTAATTTAAACAATCAGAAGGTCAGCAAATCAAATGACAAGGTTTGAAAACCCTTCTCCACTTGTGAACCTTCCAGAGGTTTTGGACTTCAGCTTTCATCAACCCCAGTCAACAGGACTACTGGGAGCTGTTGCCCAAAACATCTGGAGGATACCAGGTTGGGAAAGCTGTGCTTCTACTAAACTGGATCTTAAGTTAACTTTTTAAGATGTTCTCCTTGAGTTTCCATTATTAAAATTATAGCATTTGAATTCTAGTCACTGTAAGCAAGTTTATGTTTTCATATTTCTACACTTTCAGCTCAGAGGGCAAATTCCATGGAAGCACTCTGTGGATCATGCTGGTAATGGGCAGGGCCATGCCCCCTTCCCCAGCACCAGCATATTGCAGCTTGAAGTTTCTAGTGCAAGTAACTAAGCTTTAGGATAAATGTTTCAGAATGAGCAAAAAAACTGCAGAAAAGATGGGAGACCACCTGGCCTGCATTTCTGTACTCCAATATATTGAGACATATAATGAAATAATAATTGAAACACCTGAACATTGAACCTGAATGACCTGGTTTTAGGTGTAATGATGATTACAGTTCTCACTGGACTGTGTAGATGAACAATATACTAAATATTAATAACCAGGTCAGCGCCAGAGATCCTCTAATATTTTGAACTGCAAAACCTCAGCCTCAGTTGCATTCTAAAACCTCTGGTAGGAATGATTGGTCAGAGCACTGTTTATAGCATGGATCTGAAGGCTTTAATAAAAATCTCTTCTTCAGGGAAATTCTGTAGTGCTACAATGACATCCATTAAAATGGCAGATATCGAAAATCTTCTATTGTGATCTTTTATTTTATAGGAATTTTAGGAGATGATTACAGTTCATTTCCTAATTATAGTTCATTTCACTTACAGAATATCTTCAGTATCCAGCAGTTACCCATCCTAAAAAGATAGTAAATGGAAAATACACGATTTTCATACTTGTTAGATTTGGCTAAATTTACTTGGAATCTTAGAATAGTAGAATTGAAAGGGGCCAAGAAGGCTGTAAGTTCCAGTCCCCTGCTGTTGCAGAAGACCAATTTACACTGTCCCACTAAGATGACTGTCCAGTTTCTTTTTGGATGTCTCTAGTGTTGGAGAGCCCCCGACTTGTTGATCAGCTTTACAAAAATACTAATACTATTAATACTGTTAAAGATATAGTTATATAATTGCAGAACAAGGGGAATAAAGAGTAAGACTCAGTATATTTCACTGTTTAAAAATATTCTCGAGATTAATTTTTCCCTTTTTTGGTGGAGGTGGGGGCTGGCCTATTATTTCCTGTTCATACTTGTTCAGTTAGGTTATGCCTAGAATCTTATGGTTATTATGTTTAAATGATGTTTCTATTCCTGAATTGATGGTTAATTTCAAATAATGAGAACTAGATTTAAAAGAGTTTTGATGATATGCCTAATACTATAAATAACAAGGATTTTTACTAGGGTGACTCAGTTGTAATCCTTCCTTTTATAAATTTTGACTTGGATCATAAATGTCCTGTTTGCTGGACAGTTTTTGATCCAGCAAAGGTTCCACCAGGCCTAGTGGAGGAGATAATTTTAATGCTCATGACATGCCCCTTCTAGGGCAGGGGAAAGGTGGAGACACAGGAGACTGCAGAGGGAAGCAAAACTGCTTTTCACTTTCACCAGCAAAAGCTTCTTGTCTGTGGAGCTTGACTCATGGGAATATGAAGATCCAAGCCTTTGTTCTGTTGGCAGTACAGTCTGTTTAATAGCAGTATTGTATCAGTGAATAGTATAAATTCAGAGAAATTCAATGGTGCAAGGCCAATGGTAGTTTGATATTTGCAATGTTCTGCTATTTGCAAGTAGACTGTAGTTTGACTATCTTTGGATTTGGACTATTGATTCTTATTTTTTTTTGTTGGCTCATTGGTCACTACAAAGCTATTTGTTCAGAGGATGTTGTTGTTGTATGTCATTGAGTTCAGCAGATGCAGTATTCATTTTGACCTTTAAATACAGTTCCATGTGAAGAAGAATCTTTGGTTTATAAGGAATTCCGTCCTATGAATGCACAAGTACACTCCAATTCTATGCATAAGCATAATATAATTGTGTGCTTTACTTAGTCTGATTCCCCATCCACTCAGAAGCTGTTTTCACAGTTTGTTAACATGAATACAGAACCTGTCTAGGAAAATTATTTTGTGTTTACATGCAGCACTGTTGTGTGCTCTAGCTGAGCCAGACAGTGATGTGCAAAAACATCCAAATGGTAGTATGCAGAGACATGCAGTTGCTAAGAGAACATCATACAATTAATTGGAACTCCTCCATAACCCTGCAAAGTAGTTGTTCCTGTGCATTCAGATATGTGCAGCCTGCATATACTTCAACTATTTAAAATGCTACTTATGCATTATAACTTTGAATATATACATTTACAGCAGATGAGTGTAGAAGTTAGAATGCCACCTGAGGTTACACACATTAAATAACAAACACAAGTTCAGGATCCCATCCCTTACATTTTGATACTCGATAAGTGATACGTGATTCAATATAATTCTCCTTTCTTTCTGATCTGGGTGTCTCTGTATTGCACATGCCACTTAGTTGTACTTGAGGAGGCCTGAGCCATCTGTCTTTAATCGGGGGTGCTTTCATACCATCGAAATGTAACCAGGTATTTAAAGTACCAAATAAGGACAATCCATGCACTGCATGTTTTGAACTTCCTTTGGTAGGTATTTATGTCCTACATAAACAATGTACTTTGTTACTATTAATACTATTATCATTACTGCTACTGTTATTACTGCTGCTGTTGGTTTTACTACTTATATGCCTACAGTCTTTTTCCTTCCACATTTTCATCCTGCCTTTCCTTTGGAAAGCCCAGTGCTGCGTATTTGTGCTGCCATTCATATCCTCACAACAGTCCTGAGAAGGACCTGTCCTCTAACAATATAATCATATATAATTAAATTATTGCTGTTTTATGTTTTATCTATTGAAAAGTGTGGTTTTTAGATCATTATATGTTACATTTCACATACTACAGCATTTTTCATTTTCTGTAGGTATGTTTCCTGAAAATAAAGTCTTGGACACCTGTTCAAAAGAAGTTGTTCCCAGGTATTATGATAATTCAGTTTACATTGTTTTCTGTATCAATAGGATTGTTTCATGTAAGAAAGCATATAAATATTAGCAATGCATTGTTTGGTTATTTACTCATGGTAAACTATTTGGCTAAACCAACATTGTCAAACAGAATCATTATTTTCCACTTGAATGATGCTTTATAGACTTCAGGGGCAGTATCCAATGATATTATTCCACAAACACAAAGAGCACTAGCAGAGTTGCATTGAATCATTTGTGCAGGCTGTTGCCCATTGTGTTTGTGCAGGCATGGTTGTGCAAGCAGTTCTGCATTATGCTTATGTAACCTGGTATATATAAGTCTTGTGTAACCCATAGTGTAATGGGTTACAAGAGTTATGCACAGTGGATTGCACAAATTATATGCAGTGATACTTGTCCAAACATAATTTTACTTGGGTTTTTCTCGTGCTCCTAGTTCAAAACTTAGTTTCCGCTAGCAAAGCATAATTTATGCTAACAGAATGACATAGCTGGATACTGATCCAAATGTCCTACAGAGAAAATCAAATAAGACACTGTTTTAGATGTTACATTGTGATATTTCCTCCTCTAGATCAATCACAGTCTTATGAAGGGAAGCACCTAGATGGCTTGCCTAGAAAATTCCCATAAACAGCTGGAGTGTTTTGAGCATTATTATCTTATTTAATGATATTCAGGGTTGGGGGTGGGATGGGAAATGGTACTATGATTTAAGTGAATTTCAAGATGTAAATCACACGGTGTGCCCATCAATTTAAACTAAGCTAAGGGGAGATCTTCAATTTTTCATGAAACTGCCAGAGTTTTGCTCTAGTCTCTTGATGTCAGGGCTCCTGAAACAGATTTGCCCCTGACGTCATGGATTTTGATAACTTAGTAGAATACTTTGAAGTGCTTCACTTAGTTAGGTGTATTTCTTTTGCATACGCATGAAGGCAGAGTCCTATGGATGCAGGTACTTGTATATATGTATGCATGTTTGTTGGTTCGTTTGCTTCAAAACTATTTATAGTTTTCTCAATCTGTTTTAGTTATGATTGGTTCCAGACAGATGGTTTAGTCACTGTGGTCATATACACTAAACAAAAGGTAAAGAATTGTGTTTGGTAGCAAAGAATTGCAAAACTATAGGGCGGGGCAGGGGGTTGAGCCCTGACTATTTGTCAGTGAACAGTGTTGGTGGAATGTTTTTATCTTCTCCTGCAGCCCCTCTTACACACATCAGATTTGTCTGGAGGGTTGAGAGACCTTCCAGAGCAGACCTGGGAGGGGCTCAGTGGGGCAGGGGCTGCAGGGGGAGAGGAGCAAGGGTACGTGCTGTTGGGCAGGCATCTCTGTTTCCAGAATGCCTCTTCTCCAGCTCTATCACACATCCACTGTCCAAACGTTTCTTGCTCTCTTGAACCAGACCAGACCAGACTTTCCTTATTTGTTGCCCCACATGCCTAGAGCTGCCTCCCAGAATGTGTGTACAACGCCCTCCTTTTCTCCATTCTTAAATTCCATCTTTTCTGAGGACGCTTTGGCAAGTTGTCATCCCATGCTAAAAGCAGAGCTGAGGTATATGAAGTGACTGAATGCTCATGCCACATGTTCATGCTCATCTGCATCTCAGTCCTGTTGTGTTAGAGCAGGATGGGGAACTCCTGGCCCGTGAGATTTAGTTTGTCTTCAACTCCCATCAGTTTCTACAGCATGGCCATGGTGACAGGAGCTGCAGTCCAACATCATCTGGACAGCAGTGGGTTCCCAAACCTGGTTTGGATTATAAATTCTTCACAGTAGGGTTGATGATGTTAATGATGACAATGATGTTGATGCCTTATTGTTATCAACCCCCTTGAAATAGTTACATTTTTCTTCTTTTATAAGAATATGAACTATGAATCAGTGATAGTCGATCTTCAGGAAGTCAAACTAAGAGGAGAGATCATTGTGAAAGACTACTCATACCTTATCTACATTGGTAAGCTATTTGCTAACAATTCTTTTAGTGACTGGAGGGTTTTTTAAAGGAAGAATACAGTTTGAATACAGCATTACTCATCCTCAGCCCATACCTTGACTCATTAAATCAGTAGGATCTCTGATGTGGTTTGCACATGATGAGAAACCATGGTAAATGAGTTTCCCCATGGGGTTTCCTTTTGCACCAGCAGCTACCATGCCTAATATTTGAGCTCTGAGAGGGGCATGCTGTAGCTTATCTTTACATGAGAACCTGGTGAGGGAGGATTGCTGTGGTTGTTGACAAGCCACCAAGAACCCATGAGCTGTTTTCAGTGCATTTACACATAACAACAAGGTACAGCGTACCACCACTCTGGCTCAAATATTCAAAATGATTGTTGTAATGAAAAGCTCATGGGGAAATTATGCAGCAGTACATAGCATTTCCATGGAGCTGGAGGGACTGTTGTGGAGTGGAGGGGCTTTTGCCAGTCAAGTTATATATGTCCAATCTTGGATCCATTTCCATAAATGCAATCAAAATGTATTAAATCAATACAACACAGCTTCTTCCAGTGATGACAGCTCAGTGTGGATTATATCCATACTACAATATATCACATGCATGCATCCATTTATATTAGACTAGAATCTGAATATGTAAGGGATGTGCTATTGGGTGTGGAAAAAGAGTGACATTTGAAGTTCTCTTGTTCCTTTATTTGGAGTCAAGTGCCAGCAGTAATTTTAAAAAGCGGCTTCGTGTTTCATCAATGGAAACAGCTGGGCTACGTGAATCATTAAGCATTAGACTTGAGGCACATGAAGAGGCAGTTGTCAGACAATGAACTGGAATAAAATAACTAGGGGCAAGCTGCAGGTGCTGTTGAAATTTCTGTTACAGGCAAATATATATATATATTTTAGACCAGGTCCTAGAATAAGTATAAAGAAAATAAGAACCCAGGCACATGGAAAACTACCTTATACTGAGTAAGACCCTTTTTCCAGCTTGCTCAGAGTTGCCTACACTGAATGTTAGCTCTCCAAGATTTCAGGCAGGGGTGTCTCCCATTCCTATATGCCAGTGCCAGGAACCGAACCTTAGGACACTGCATGCAACACTTGGGCATCCAGTTGTGTGTGCACATAGCATCTTTGTATCCTGGCTTATGGCCTGGCTCCTTTCAAACATGACATCAATCTGTGATTTGTTTGTACAAACAATTTCTGTACTGGCTGTGTTTAAACGTAAGACCACATAATGAATTCGACATTACCTGAAAAGAGTTCCTGATTCTCATGCACACTTTTTTCCTTTCCACCAAGTTTGCTGTTCAATACAAAGGATGGATTTATGTTCTAATTTCCAGGTGAATTGTGGTTAGAGCAAACCTTAGTTTGTTAGTTTTCCATGTGATGGCAAACTATAGTTTGATAGCAAAGAAGGAGTTGCAGCATGCTAAAGGGAAGACAAGAAGGGAGTGCTCTGTTCTAAGGTTAATCTATATGGTGCCAAGCCTAAAGTCATTACTAATAATGTAATTTGATTTTTTTATTAAACTAAAAATTTTACTTCTATTTTAGAACTGAGTAATGCAGTTCATGAAGACATTATAGGTAAATATGTCTGCTCATAATCAGTGTTTTTGATTTTTGTGGGGAGGGGTTGTTTCACTTGGTTAATATATTCAATACTTGCTGCTAACCTTTTATATCATCAATACAAATACTCTATGGTGCCAATTTTTTTCTTTTATTTGTCATGCAAGACTTTATTTATTTTGTTATATTTATATTCCGCCTTTTTTGCTTCCAAGGAGTTCAAGACAGCTTATACAATTCTCTTCCTCTCAATCCTAGCCTCACAACAACAAACCTGTGAGGAAGGTTGGGGTGAGAATCTGTGACTGGTGACCAGAATCACCCAGGGAGCTCCATGTCAGAGGGGGGACTAGAGCCCAGATCTCCTGAATCCCAGTCCCACACTTTTAATCACTGCTTTATCCAGGTTGCCAGGTAGCTAGTTTTAGACATTTAGGACACAATCCTGTGCAAGTTTAGACAGAAAAAAAATCTTGCAACTCCCACCACTCTCTGGGAATGCTGGGTGTTGTAGGACTTTTTTCTGTCCAAATATGCATAGGATTGTATAAATAAGCATTTAAATGAGGATCTTCTATAGTAGACTGTTGTCTTGAGTATATGGCTATATTTTGTTTGGATATGGTGTCTTGAACTTCTGATATTTCCCTCTCTTTCTCTGGGTATGTAATGCTGCCACCAGGTATTTAATTTCAATCTTATTAATTAACCTTTCCCTCAGTATTGTGCCTAGCTCCTTCATTGGACTATATGGTTCTGAGGATGAGACACCAGCATTCAAACAGCCCATGATGTTGAGTTAACAATAAACAAAATAGAACATTATTTGTACAAGAAGTTTATTGGTTCAGTAACTTACTTCCTTAGAGAATAAAACAGTGCATATTAAGAACTTCTGACTGAGGTATTGCATCCCTTCCCTTCACAGTCACTCCTCACACACACATCCTCCTTTTTCTCCTGAATGTATTTTGACCAGTCTTTATCTTATTTATCTCAGTTTAATCTTTTCCTTCTGCATTCAGGTTTCTATCAGCTTCTATCTCTCCCACCTTGACAATATTAGGTTCTGACTCTCCCTGGCCGCTAATATGACTTCCGAGTATTCTACTTTCTTATCTTTCCTTTTAATCTTAAAAGCTTTCACAGCACTATCTAGGATTCAAATGAGAAGGCTGCCTCTCCAGGTTCTGCAGATTTGCTGGCTGGCCAGAAGGACTGCCAACTCCTGACAGACTGATAACTTTCTGCCTTCTCTCTCCCTGCTCTCCCCTCACACACTTCCAATCTCTGCCCACCCACTCTCATTCACCAACCAATCACCTCACTCATTCACTCACCCACCCTTTACCCCCCTTGCTTTTCTGAAACTTAACAACATTTAAAGGAGCACACTCATAACACTTTAAATCGTTAAAAGTGTCCCCTTGTATTTCTAAGTATCAGGTAAACATATGTGCTGCTTGCTTAAGCAATTAATATGTCCATGCCCAAGTTTTTACTTGCCGATGTAGCAGCTCTTAGGATTCTGCTATAGTCTTAGTGTGTTGTGCATTATACATTTATGCATATTTGTATGAAAACCAGACATACAGCTGCATTGAAATGGGGTGCTATGTAAATGATTTGTTGTAGTAGTGACATATTAAACTTTAGAACTGAACCCATTCTCCTGAATCACCTCTACAAAGCTTCGAGATTTATTTATTTGATTCACTGTGATGTATTCAGATGTGTCTCAATTGATACCTTTTCTTTTTATAAGCCTTTTTAGCTCTTTCTATAATTTTAAAATAATTTCTGTAACTGTTAGCCTGTTGTAGTGAAAACAGTGCTGTGGCACTTAATGCCATGATGGTTCCCCAACAGCTGCCATGTGAGAGTGGTTGGGAGCAGCCCCAGTTTTTTAATATCTAGAGATAGAGATTTTATATGTTCATTTTGTGGCCACAGATGATTTCCCACTATCTGGTTGCTTCCAGACACTCAAGGTTCTTATTCTGGGTACTGCGAATTATCCCACATGATAAGGATCAGCCATTTTTTTAATATAATCTTGATCGTTCTTGCTGTGCTATATATGTAAACATACCTTGTCAGAAATGCATTGTTATCTACCCTTATTTAAATAAAAGCATAGGAATAATTAAGTGCAGGTCCCTATCATGTGTATTTATATTGCAACATTCTTCTGAGGAGATGTGCAAGAGATTTCCAGGCACTGACCAAACCTTGAAACCAGTGGCAACAAAAGCCACATTTCTCCTTTGAAACCAGGTAGGTTTCAAAGTACATGTCTTGTTTTAGTGCAAAATCATACTCCTGAAAGGTCCAGGGGTGGTATTTTACAGTGGAACAAGGCATGTGTCCCCTGCATGCCTGGTTTTAAAGGGAAAATGGTGGCCACAGTGAAGTGATAGTTGCCTCTGTCTCAGTCTCAGTCTCATGCCCACACCAGCCAGTGGCCCATGCCTGAGGCCCTTGTGCTGCACAGTCCCTGAATGAGTAGATGGGTTTGCATGCACTTTGATATACTGAATGGATGCTGCTCAGTGATAGTGGATTGGCAACTCTGCCTTTATCTTTTCTGTTCTACGTACTGTACACATATCAGTACAGAACAACAATATGTATATTTTTAGTACAGGTTTTTGAAAAAGTGGGAAAGGTGGAGCTTATCCTGAAGAAGAAAGAAATTCTACCTTGGAAAAAACTTGGGCAGCCAATGGAAAGTCATAACTCCTTCGTTAAACGCACAGACAGAGGTAATTAAGGAATTTGCTGTTATAGCCAAGGCCTATTTCCATATGTATCCCTCTAATGCGTCTCCAGCCCACCAACTGAAATGAAGTGGGAGGGCCACAAGTGTAAGTAAGTGTCCTCTACACGCCTCTTTCCCTGATCTGCCTTCCATCAACAAAGGGACATTCTTTGGATTCTACCAATATATTTAAAAGTTGCAATTTATCTATAGATCTTGCCTCTACTTGGATTATAGTTGTATTTTAATATAACTTTAATGCAGAAATATTTTAAAATTCATACATTTTACTGTTTTTATACACCATTGTTGTGAATTAATAATTTAAACTGCCCTAAGTAATGCATAGACATAAAAGGGTGAGATATTTTTTTTCTATAAATATGTAAATAAATGTTAAACCCATAAATATTAGCTTTTCTTCCCAGTGGCTTATAAAAGTTATACAACATCTATATCTATTTCAAAAATACAAAAACTTTAGAAGATCAAGAATGAACCTGTTGCATTCAGCGTGATAACCATGTTTTATGTTGATAGCTGCTCGATGGTTGACATTTAAGAATTGCAGAAGTCTTGTTGCTATATCAATATCAATACAATAAGAATGTTTTTCTGATGGTTCAGAAAAATAAAATGCTAGTATTTACATGTTATTGGTCTAGGGCCATAATTTTGATTCTCACAGATTGTTCTGCCAAGAAAAGAATCTTCCATAAATTTTGGGTCCAGGCAGTGAATATATAAATATGTGTATATTTGAGTAGTGTCAATTTAATTCATTATATGGTTTCTATATTTCTAAGGTCTATACTACAGAAAATGCAGGCTGCTATCAAAAACAAATGTCAGTCATGACACTCGACTCTTCTGCTTGGTGTTACCATCAGGAACCCATCTCCGTGTCCCTGTTGGGCACCATGTTTACCTCAGAGAAACTATTACTGGTAATATAGTGAAAATTCAATTGTTGAATAAATAGAATTTGCCAGCCCTAATTCTGAAATTCTGAAAATTGCCACATATGTTGGTAACTTACTTCTTAAATGAGAAGCAGGTAATGCTCTATTTCCTGGTGCATACATACTATGACTCTAAAACATCTTTAAAAATATTCCTTCAGATCAGAGGTGGGCAAATTGTGTTTTTCCAGAGGTCTTAGACTACAACTCCCATCACCATTTGCTGTGTTGCCTAAGAGAAAGGGAGCTGAAGGCCAAAGCATCTGGAGGGCCAGAAGTTGCCCACCCTGCTTTGCGGTATTTTCTGTCTTAAAATATATCCTATCTCTATACTCCCCTCTGTCCTTTGTCAAGCCAGTTGAATTTGCATAAAAAGACAAAATATAAGTCAGCTTCAAACAAATTCTGAAATAAAAAACAAGCAAACCTTTTGTCACAACAAAACCATCTTATACCTGTATGCCTATTTCAAAGCCCAATTCAGTCATTATGGGGTCCACAAACTGCTCTTGATGAATAGCAAAAAAAATGGAAATACAATATTCTAGCCCTTCTGAAAAGTGAATTGGAGTATTTAAGAAGTTGGCAGATTTTAGATGAAATAAGACAGGTGGGGGTTTTTAACCTAATATAAGAAAAGGTTTACTAGGGATTTCTAGAACATTCACTTTGCTTATTTCCTTTGTAGTTAGGAAAGGTTTCATATCTTGAGTCTTTTTGGCTTTGTTGAAATGTAGTTATCATGTTTACTACATTTTCAAAGAAATGGCAAGGAAATCCTATATATACTGTATCTAAGAAAAGCTTAAATTCTGTTTTCCTAGAATGTCATGCCTTTTCATGATCTAAAACAAGAATGTTAACATGAAGAGAATTAAGACAAGTTGTCAAATTTAGGAGTCTTATACTTTTAAATAACTTTTAAATAATAACTAGAAATGAATTGATAAGCAACATAAAAGAACACAAAGATTAATGCATCACTGCTGAAATGTAGGTCACCAGCTTACCCTCATTTTTAACTAGAGGAGAGAAGGGAGAGGCCATAGCCAGTAGAAATAAAATTAATTTCCCAGAAATGCTTATAGGTCGGTTATATGGTATTCAGGATTTGCTTGTTTTTAGCTTTCTGTTCCTTGCATGGGAACCTTTGTCTAGGAAAGTGGTAACTCACCTCTTAGTGGGAATTTTTTCATTATTTGCAGTATCTTTGATAAACCTATTCACACAATATCTCCACTTGATTTAAAATCATTTTTAAATATTCTTTTCATGTTTATCATTAATTTTTGCTCTCTCCATGCATGTTAATGTCTTCGATTTAGGCACAGAGATAGTGAAGCCATATACACCAGTGTTGTCTTCCTTGTTATCAGCATTCAGAAACCCTTCTCAAGATGATAAGACACACATATTTTTCATGATCAAAATTTATCCCAATGGACTATTCACACCAGTACTTGATGCTCTGGAAATAGGTAAGCACTTCTTTTCTCTCTCAGGACATCTTAAAACTGTACGTGTTACTATACTTTAAAGGTATATTTGTAAGCCGCTCTGGAGGCTAAAGGATGGAGTATAAATGTTCTAAGTAAATAAATCAATGTTTTAATGAAATTTTATTTTTTGAATGTGTAAAATATTTTCAAAATGTATTGATAAAAACGTGCAAATTACAACACATTGAAAAGTGGCTTAGCTGTGGATTTGGCTGCAAACTGTTCATAAAAATCTTATTTTTTCCTGAAAGAATTGTGAATTATACTATGAAATATAAAAAAGTGTGAGCTAATGCAAATAGTTTTATTTTATTGTATTGAATGTCAAGAGCTTCATTATTTCCTTTTGTCTAAGTTACTATGTGCTTTCTTCCCACAGGGGAGTATATTTCCATGAGTAATCCTGAAGGTAACTTCATGATATCACAAGTTGAAAATGTGGAAGATCTATTTTTATTGGCAGGAGGCACAGGATTCACACCAATGGTTAAATTGCTAAACTACGCTTTGACCAGTAGCAGTAGTGTCAGGTATCTTTCCGTACTTACCACAAGGAATTCCATGTGAATGTGTAGCTTGGTCCTAAACTATGGTTGGTGTGTCCCTTTCCAGCCATGTATGTATTGATACAATATCCCTTAGGGTAATGGGTAGAATGATCTTATAGTCACCTAGATGCTACCTGGGAGCCGTGGGGTACTTCAGATTCCCACATTCAACGTTGGAAACAGAGCTCTAACCTTGTAACTGGGGATCTGTGCTTGGATCTCCCTCCTGCTTCTCACAGCTGGCCCAGAAGAAGCCTTGATGGCTGTTTCTCTAACTTGTGGGAGTGATCTTGGAGAAGAGGTCGCAGGGGCAGGGGCAGGGGAGGGAGGAGACTCAGCCCATCATGATACAGGATATTCTGGCAGCACTTGGGTCTCCTTTCTTCCTCCTCCAAAGCACCAGAGCTCAGCAGTCAAAACTGGCTATCTCGTTGACTTGCAGAGCAGGAGGAACAAGGGGTGGAGATCACCACTTCCACTTTCCCCGTGCTGCAGAGATGCCCACAGTCCTCTGAGCTTGGAGTCATCCCAGTTGGAATGTACCCCTATGTGATTATTTTTTAAAAGCCACATAAGATCAGAACCCCTGTAGTTCTTCTTCAGTTACTTAAACATACGTGCTCATCCCTGTAATGAAAAATAGAACGCTGCATAGTTATTTTTCATGTTTTGACCAGAAAAATAAGTATGCGAGAATTTCAGAGGTTTTTCAGATAAAGCTGACATCTTATTATGTAAACAGTAACAGCAGAACAACAGTTAAATCACATTGTGTAGCAGATGCTCATAAGGTTTCTCTATAACAAAATTTAAAAACCCAATATGTATACTAAAATAATCTGTTCTGCTTAATTTTAAACATTTATGTTTAGCCATGCTTGCTAGTTCTTGCTCTGGATATGTTTCCAATGCAAAGAACATTTCAATATAGTGGGCAGAAGTCCTACAAAAGCATGACAGCATTTTGCAGTAATTGCTTGGTCTTTGTTGTGGTGGAAGATTTGGACAACACTGAATAATATTACTGAAAGAAACATATAGCACTGGTTTGCTGCAGCTGGTGGTCACATTGCCTGCGTGAAGTTGTGCTTTGTAGATGCTCTCAGTGGTGGAAGGGGGAACTTCTTGCCAGTTCCCACCTCTCTTAGTGCCCCCACAGACCTCTAATCCAAATAGTTTGGCAACACTCTGGAAAATTGTGGGAAATGGGGTTAGAGTTTGTAGAGAGAGGAGGGAATTAGCTTGAGTCATCTCATCCTTTCTGCCAGTGAGATCCCTCTACTGGATTAAAATCTTTCCATGCACGGAAAGTGAAGTCTAGCTCCAGCTCATTGCCTTGGTTCAAACAACACAGTAACCACACTCGGGACAAGAGCACTCTTGTACTCACTGGATTTCTTTCCCATGCTTGGCCCTGCCCAGGAAGTAAGCCAAGTTGAGATAAAGTCCACGGATAGTCAGGAATGCTAGTGGACGTTTTCTTTGCACAAAATATGCAAAGCAAGTCACACGTGCAGAAGCAGAGCTCTGCTTGCACAGGAGGCATGTTGGTAAGCTGGCCTTCCAGATTTGCTTCCTGCCAGATGCCCACACAAATGGTCAGTGCAAGGAACACTTAATTTATGAATCAGGCCTAAGTTGATTCCAGTGCAACTAATGACTCTCTATGGCAAGATTCCTACAGAAAAATAAGAGTTTCTAATGCAAATCCATGGAACTCCTCCAATATGTGTCTGTTTTCCTTTAAAAAGACCCAAACCCTGTCCAACAAGGTTCTTCATGCATAAATCCTGTGAAACCATAGAAACTATTAAAAGTCCTTACACTGATGCAAGCAAGCAAGAAAAGGACAGTGGTCCTAGAAAGACCAATTTTCCCTTTCCTCAATTCAAGAGAGAGGAAGGTGTGGAGGAACTCTATCACACAACAACAGGAAGTGGCAATGTCTTCAGTGAGTTGCTGATACAGCCAGTCCCATTATACATAGTGGTGTACTTTTTACTTTTGTGGGGAGGAGGGTGCTGGTGACCAGTTTGCTTTGCAGCTGGCCGTAGCCTTTTTCTTTTATAATGCAATAGAACTGGTGTATTCTATGTAGTGCATCCTGCTTTTTGTGCCCCACTTATTGGGTGGGTGCCTGCCCCACTGTTTTCCTATTCCATTCCCCAATTAATGCCTTCGGGGAAGCTGAATCTGCTCCCCATAACAGGTGTTATAGTTGGTCTCCAGCTTGCCAGTTCTCAGTTTTCCATCTCTTTTGTAATTCTGAGCAAGATAGGGGAATAGCAAGTTGTAAGTTGATTGGGAAAGTTAGGAAGGGGCAAAAGTGGTCACCTCCTTGTGTTGCTGTGCTATGTGGAATCATGTAGCCAATGAATCTTCTGTCTGCCTTATAAGCAAAATGGCTCTGTAGGACAGCCTTTCCCTTGCTTTCTCTCTGTCCTGACCTGGTGCCCTCCAGATGTTTTGGACTAGAACTCATGTAAGTCCTAGTCAGCATGGCCAATAGGTATGATGGGAGTTGAAGTCAAGATACCTGGAGAGTACCAACTAGGTCTAGGTAGGCTCCTCTAGAGGTTGCCCCATCCTAGAATGTGATCTTCCCCTAGTAATGGGAAAAACTGAGCAGTGGTAGTAGCACAGCATGGCAGCACATGGAATGAGGGTATAGGGGGAATGCTAAGCAAGCACATAAGCAGAACTGATAGGATGGAGATGTGCCATAACACGTGTTTGAAGCAGGCAGATTCAACCTCTGCCAAAGCAATAACTGGGAAAGTAAAATGGGGAAAAGTATGGTAGGACATGCTGCAGCCCAAGTAGTAGTACCTAGAAAGAGGGAAGGACTACGTAGAGTGTATGATCCAGAGGGGCAACTGTGCCATCACATTCTGCCTAAGAGCTTCTGTCTTCCATCGCTTCAATATCATGGGTCTTGCATTAAAGTTAAATTACAGCGTGGTATAGCTAAAAGCATGTGTGGGTTCTTATTGAAGACAATGTAAGATGGTGCTTTATTTAGTGTTCTCTGCAATATTTCTTTTGTACAATATTGTTACTAATGGCTGTTTTAAATACTGAAGCTGTGATGCCTCTTTTTAAGTGCAGTGAAATTGATGTTCTTCAACAAAACAGAAGATGACATCCTTTGGAGAAATCAGCTGGAGCAATTAGCCCTTAATGATGCAAGGTACTAATTTACATGAAAAAATGGTTGTCATTGCCTGGTAAACATTAAGGCTGTGTTAGTTCTGCACTATGCAAAGCTACAACACAAGCCATGTATTTCTGGGAAAATAGCCTGCTCACGTAACACAGCTGGCTCATTGTGGGCAGTTTAACCTGCAGTGAGTAGCAGTGTGTGAGAGTGCCATTTTCAATAAGTGACTCCCGTTGGGGTTGCTATGCATTATGTGAACATGGCCATCATATGTTATTTGAGGTTTAAACAGCCCTTGCACAACCCTATTATTGCGGATTATGACCTTGCCATGTTATGTTATGCAAACCAGCTCAGGAGCATGTTTCTTTTGTGGGAGCTCAGTGACTTGCTTGTCCCAGCTGTGTGAACAGTACCACAGAGTAGTACTTTACTGCTACGAGAACAAATGACCACTGTAATATATGCAAATGCAGCTATACTGAGCAATCCTGATCAGCTTTGAACATTGTAGCTCCTAGATAAGTATGTGTGCACAGAGGGTAACTGGCATGGTGGCAGTGAACACATTCTCAACATGATTTTGTAAAGGCTCTGTAAAGGTCTTCTTATTCAACCCCCCATATAACTTGGCATTTCACCCTTCCATGCTGCTTTCAGTTCTGCCTGAAATTGCACTAGCATGACCTACAAGGCCCTATTTTTTCCCTCTGCCAAATGCCTCTGAGAATTATTAATGAGGTCTGTTTGGCCATGGAAATGGCTCTGTTGCTGTCTTACTCCTCTTGTTTAATGTTAAGTGCTCAACTCTACTTAACCAATGTCATATCACTCTTGACATTGAAACAAGTAACTTTTTTAATGGATATAACTACACAATTTTTCCTCCCCTGTAGTTTTATGTGTCTTCAAAATTCTGGAGTGTTGTGGAAAGAATGCAGGGGAATGATTTTCTCCAATAATTTAATGGCAAAACATCAGGAAAGTATTTTTGCATTTTTTGATATTTCTGCCTATGATGGTCCTTTTGAACTCAAGTCAGTAAACGTTTCATTCTTAAGAGCTGCTTGTGCAGGTCATAATGTATATTTTCCCCCTAAAAATAGAAGTAGGGAAAAGCCTGTATATATCGACTTTCAACATGTCCAAGTGCAGTGAAGAGGCTAATGTTGAAGGGATTAGATTTCAACTCTTTTCCTGGAATTCCTCTCCATCTCTTTTTCTGGAATTCTGAGTCTCTTGAAATGATTGGCCATTGCTACTGAGACAAACTATGGCTGGTCCACGTACTTAACCAAGCTGAAGACCTGCTGTGAGTGGAGGAACACCAAATCCACACCACTTTTCCACCCACATTATGCTAACACACACAAATCAGCCTTTATGAGAGAAGAGACAAATAGTCCATAAATATGGTCTGCCTCCTATGTGAATGAGGAGATGGGGAAGAGACAGAACCTACTTCTCTACTCAAAGATGTTTGGTCTGCTTCCAAAGACTAGTCTGTGCCTTGAGCATTTGAGAGTACGAGGCTAGAAACACTTGCCAGTGCAGTAGTAGACCCAACTAGTTATCACTTCTGTTAATCAGCTCAGGAATTGGAGTTCTTCGTCGTGGCCTCTGTGCATCACACATGGGTTGCTGCGCCTGCGCAGTGCCTAGGCCGGAAGATTAGAAAGCTAATGGTTTTTGGTGGGAAAACTCTGCTCCCCTCCCCCTTTGTGGTATAAATAGAGCGGAGTGTCCGCCATTTCACTCAGTCTTTGCGACCGCCATTCGCTGTGCCTCATGCCTATTCGTCTCTCGCTATAGATCTGTGCCTCTTCGTTGTTTTTTTCTCAAAAACCTTAAACTTCTCTTGCTCCAGGTTTGTTCTTCTTCCTGATTCTGTCCGTTTTCTTCTTAAATTCTCTTCTCTATATATATAAAAAAGCAAAACAAACAAACTAACAAAAATATTATCTTACCCTCTATACTGTCCTCTTTTCTTCATTTTTCTGCGATGGTGCAGCAGGTGGCATTCTGCAAATGTATTGAATGTGGATCTAAAATGTCGCCAGTTGATCCACATGATCTATGCCTCCTCTGCCTTGGCAAGGGGCATAGGACCGACAAATGCGGTCATTGCTTGGCGTTTACCAAGCAGGCGCGGAAAAACGGAGAATTGTCTCAGGAAGCTCCTATGGGATCAGGCATTAATGCAGTCTGACCAACTGCTCCTACGGCCTGGTTCCTCTTCGTCCGCGCCTCCTCAGCGCTCTTCCTCCACCATGAGTGCTCCGGCGAAGCATCCTTCTTCGACCTCTGCCGATCCTCCGCAGCGTCCTTCGGACGAAGGCGCCACTTCTATGGAGGATCAGTCACTGCTCCCCCAGCTGAGAAACGGGAGAAGCACAAGCATACCGGTCTGGATAAACCTTCCACCCATAAGAAGTTGAAGAAGGAGAAGGTGGATAAGCCCGCTCACAAGAGGAAGAAACCTGATCGCCCAAAACACCGGGGCTCAGGTTCATCAGGCTTTTCGGTACCAACGGCCACCATGGTACTGACCCCCTTGGGACCGGCCCTGCAACTCGTTATGCAGGATCCACCGGGATCCCCCAGGCCAACCATTCGGCCTGAGAGCGTGCATCCCGAGCAACAGGAGGAGCCGCTTCGGGAGTCCATCTCTGATGGTGAGATCAGAGACTCCCTGCCGAGGGACCACTCGCTAACACCTATGCCACCGACTGAACCTCATGTGGCCTCACCATTACCTCCTAGATGTCGCAGCCTTTCATCCGAACATTGAGATGAGGGTTGATCCCGGGATATGGTGCTCCCCCGGCTGGGGTGGTTACCAACCATATCCCTATTTTCCTCGGGATCATAGATCACCATCGGTCCCGAGGGACGTATCATCCACCTCTAGGCGTACGGAGACGAGGCCCCCAACCTCCCCTGAAACCTTCTCCTCAAGCGAAAACCGGCCGTGTTACGTGGAAGACTCCGAGGATTCGGAAGTCGACTCCACATCCCCTGATGTGGCTGTCACATACCAAGGGCCTGCTTCACCCGACGAACCGCATGTCTCTTTTACAGAGCTCATGTCCTGCTTAGTTCGTTCGCTTGAAATCGAAGCTCATCAATAGCCAGGCCCCTCCACAGATCGGTTTTATGATGTTGTTCGGGGAGAGCAGCCCGCATCCATAGCTCTGCCGCTTATAACTACACTCCGCCAGGCTATGGTCCAGCCCTGGGACCAACCGGCCCAACCGCAAACTATCTCCCGCAGATATGAGGCCATGTATAGAGTTCGTGACGATGACATTCCCTTCCTGCTCCGTCACCCGAAACCGAACTCTCTTGTGGTTGAATCCTCCCTGGGCAGGGAGTCCAGGGGACATACCGCTCCTCGGGACAAGGAAGGGAGGAAAATCGATATGCTTGCATGCCGAGTCTATGCGGCCTCTGGACTCGGCGTGCGCATATCGAACTACGAAGCGACACTGGCACGTTGCCAGTACTTTATCATGCAGAAGCTGGATAATGTTGTTTCCTCCCTTCCAGACCACCAAGCAGACCTTGCCAGGGTTTTCATTAAGGAGGCGATGCAGGTGGCGGTGCAACAGTTGTCTGCCGCTCGTCATCATGTAGACACCGATTCAAGGGCCCTCGTCAATGCCACCTCGTTACGCCGACATGCGTGGCTGCGCAATTGTAATTTCCCCAATGAGATGAAGCGCAGAATCGAGGAAATGCCATTTGAAGGTACCGGTCTGTTCTACCAGAAGACCGACCGCAAATTAAAGGCAATTCACGAATCACGCCTAACTGCACGCCACATGGAGCTCCCGCAAAAACATAAGTGACAGTGGCCTCGGTCTTCCTGCCGGAACCAACCATACTATCCGCGCCAGCAAAACTACCCTCGCCAGCAATATCAACAACAGCAGCATCGGAGACAGCAAACACAACAGCGTTTTTCCCAAGGCCGTCAGTGATTCAATACCAATAAACGCCCACGTTGATGGCTTGGGCGAACCATCCTCTCTTTCCCAACACCACCTTCCCTTCTCCCTTTTGGGAATCGGCTCCAGGGCCGACTCCCCATTTGGGAGTCCATTACATCTGATAGGTGGGTGTTATCTATCATCCAGTTCAGATATAGGATAGAATTTGATGTTATCCCTCCTTCGAGCCTGATCCACTTCACACCTTCTTCATTGGTGCTACGTGATGAGGTCTCCCAGCTAATTCTCAAGGGAGCGATTCGACAGTTGTCCTGCTCGGAAGGATTGCATGGATTCTATTCCAGTTATTTTACGGTCCCGAAAAGGGACGGTGGTCTTCATCCGATCCTGGACTTACGAAATCTTAATAAGTACATTAAACCAAGGAAGTTCCAGATGACCATTTTGCAAAATATCCTTCCGTTATTGAAAAGAGAGGATTGGTTTGCCTCACTGGATTTAAAGGATGCTTATTTTCATATTTCCATCCATCCTTCACACAGACGCTTTCTACATTTTACTGTCGGATCCGACCTGTTCGAGTTTAACGTCCTACCTTTTGGCTTGGCCACAGCCCCTTGAGTCTTTACAAAGTGTATGGCGCCGGTATGCGCACACTTGGGGACATGGGGAATACAGATATACCCATACTTAGACGACTGGCTAATCGTCTCACAATCCGAGCAAGCTCTCCTGTCTGATATACAAATGACCTGCGCTCTACTCAATGCTCTCGGTCTCTGCATTAACCGCAACAAATCGTCCCTTTTTCCCACGCAGGTCATCGATTTCATCGGGGCATGACTCGATTCGACGCAGGAAAAAGCCTTCCTCCCACCGGAACGTCAGAATGCCTTATGCAGCCATATTCATCAGATTCGGCTACA